TATGTGGGGGTGAGGACACTATCCTCTGTGTATGTGGGGGTGAGGACACTATCCTCTGTGTATGTGGGGATGGGGACACTATCCTCTGTGTATATGTGGGGGTGAGGACACTATCCTCTGTGTATGTGGGGGTGAGGACACTATCCTCTGTGTATGTGGGGGTGAGGACACTATCCTCTGTGTATGTGGGGATGGGGACACGTTCCTCTGTGTATATGTGGGGGTGAGGACACTATCCTCTGTGTATGTGGGGGTGAGGACACTATCCTCTGTATATGTGGGGGTGGGGACACTATCCTCTGTGTATAAGGGGTAGGGACTTACCTGGTAGTGTTGTGAGTAGAATCTGGCCTGTAAACACCTGAGGACACTATCCTCTGTGAGTGGTCCCACTAAATGAGTAAGATCCTCAATCTGGGAATACACACTCATGTCAACACCATACTTCTGTTCTGTAAAGACAAAAGAAAATAACAAAATCATGATGCAATATTTTGTGATCAATATAAATTCTATGATTCTTACTCCGTATGCAATAACTAAGCTGAGGTCTTGGAGTTTTATACGTTTGGTATCTACAGGTTAATACAGTACTGTATCACATTTATAATAGCCATCGTGGTGAACACCTCCAATATGACACTACATAATAATGGCAGTGTGTAAATACAGTGTGGCAGGTTCATACAGTACTGTACCACGTTTATAACAGCCATCGTGGTGAACACCTCCAATATGACACTATATAATAATGGCAGTGTGTAAATACAGTGTGGCAGGTTAATACAGTACTGTACCACGTTTATAATAGCCATCGTGGTGAACACCTCCAATATGACACTATATAATAATGGCAGTGTGTAAATACAGTGTGGCAATTAACCCAGGCTTCTTCTCATAATCAATCTAACACAACATTCTCATCATATGATGGAATGGCTAAGATTAGAAATTAATATTTCGAAAATGTATACGGTAAACTAATGTTCACACAATATTAATGTAAACATATGATAAAACATATGTGTAGCATACAAACTATGATAGGTACTACATGTATTACCATAATATACAGAAGTCTAATAAAAACACACCAAAATGTATCTGGTATTGTTCCAACTTTAGAGAGGTACCCATCTCTGTCCAAACCATGTCGACTGACAGAACATGTGCTGACCTTGGTATAAACTTCCACATAATAATCCCGCAGAGAAACATAACACCAAGCATTATCTAATTATATTGATTGTGTTATGATATCACAAACATGAATGCTTAGCCTCACACACAATCATTACCAAGACAAAGTCTTTCCCTATATGTTTGCTTTATCTTTCCATTTCACATCTGCTGGTTGTGACTAAAGCACAAAGGGTACAGCCAATAAATAGGAAACAAGCAATCATTCATTTATCATTAAAATATTCCTGTGTTCCTATGGAGCCATTTAAAGGTACAGCAGCTCATACACAACACATTATTGACCAAACTTTAGTTAAATACCACCAGCTGGAGGAAGTGTACTAAATACAGTTAACTCAGTCTGTATATTACTGCTAACTGGAGGTAGTGTACTAAATACAGTTAACTCAGTCTGTATATTACTGCTAGCTGGAGGTAGTGTACTAAATACAGTTAATTCAGTCTGTATGTTACTGCTAGCTGGAGGTAGTGTACTAAATACAGTTAACACAGTCTGTATATTACTGCTAACTGGAGGTAGTGTACTAAATACAGTTAACTCAGTCTGTATATTACTGCTAGCTGGAGGTAGTGTACTAAATACAGTTAACTCAGTCTGTATATTACTGCTAGCTGGAGGTAGTGTACTAAATACAGTTAACTCAGTCTGTATATTACTGCTAGCTGGAGGTAGTGTACTAAATACAGTTAACTCAGTCTGTATATTACTGCTAGCTGGAGGTAGTGTACTAAATACAGTTAATTCAGTCTGTATATTACTGCTAGCTGGAGGTAGTGTACTAAATACAGTTAACTCAGTCTGTATATTACTGCTAGCTGGAGGTAGTGTACTAAATACAGTTAATTCAGTCAGCTTTTTACTGCTAGCTACAGGTAGTGTACTAAATACAGTTAACTCAGTCTGTATATTACTGCTAGCTGGAGGTAGTGTACTAAATACAGTTAATTCAGTCTGTATTATACTGCTAGCTGGAGGTAGTGTACTAAATACAGTTAATTCAGTCTGTATATTACTGCTAACTGGAGATAGTGTACTAAATACAGTTAACTCAGTCTGTATATTACTGCTAGCTGGAGGTAGTGTACTAAATACAGTTAATTCAGTCTGTATGTTACTGCTAGCTGGAGATAGTGTACTAAATACAGTTAACTCAGTCTGTATATTACTGCTAACTGGAGGTAGTGTACTAAATACAGTTAACTCATTCTGTATGTTACGGCTAGCTGGAAGTAGTGTACTAAATACAGTTACCTCAGTCTGTATATTACTGCTAGCTGGAGGTAGTATTCTAAATACAGTTAATTCAGTCTGTATATTACTGCTAGCTTGAGGTAGTGTACTAAATACAGTTAATTCAGTCTGTATTATACTGCTAGCTGGAGGTAGTGTACTAAATACAATTAACTCAGTCGGCTTATTACTGCTAGCTGGAGGTAGTGTACTAAATACAGTTAACTCATTCTGTATGTTACTGCTAGCTGGAAGTAGTGTACTAAATACAGTTAACTCAGTCTGTATATTACTGCTAGCTGGAGGTAGCGTACCAAATAAAGTAAATACAGTCAGCAAATTTCAACCTGAGACCATCATACAATCACCATGAAAAACTCTGAGCTGTAAAAATCATATTTTTTTCATCTGCTATTATTACAGATATTTCCTGTTTTCAAGCATTAAAATATTTCCTTCTCCCATCATTAATTTGTTTTGGTCAAGGTCTGATTTATTAAAATTTCAGTAGGTTGATAAGAAATCTATATCATATAGACCTGTCTTCTATTGTGTGTTAATTTTAGAACTGAAATGTCCTTCCTACATCAAAGCCTGGTACAATAGTTGATGGATGATTTGCTATGAGCAGTCAGACATGACAGTTGCCACCAAGATAGAAACATTGAAGACATGAGGAAGGTCGACCTTTGATCAGTGAATTACTTTACTTAGAAAGAGACTTTGTAATTTATTTATACTTCATAAATTGTATGTTTTCTCATGAATTTAAATATGGTAGGACTACTGTGGTCACATAATTTAGTTCATGAATGTTAAATTGAGTATTTAAATTAAAGAAAGTCGGCCAAACTGGCGACAGTTAAAAGCATTACCTACCTGGCTGTTCTGTCATATTGGTTTAGGTCATATCTGATCACAGGGTGACCCGCTCCACAATGAAACCACATTCTAATGATGCCCCAATGTTCACTACTAATTGTTTGCTTTCCCTATCACCCATCGGTCCAGCAGTCCCACCCAGTCAATACCACAGTGGTCATCACCTATCTCAACGGCCTAGCTAAGGCTCATCCACAACTGCCCGTAAACAAGTCCTCAAAATCTCACAAGCCTATCAAAACCTATCAGCTCTATAGCTAATCATTCCTCTTAATATTGCATTAAGAAACGTGACATCTGACTCATCAGAGGCATTAAACAATCTCAGCAGTATCACATAAGCAGTGTGTGTTGTTAGACTACAATATCCACAGTAGTGTCGCATTTCATAGATAAATAGATCTAAATATGACAGAGTGCCTAAAGTGGTCATCCTGTAAATTAAGCCTGGAGTCTGAACTTGACTTGTTATGTGGTCTGATGTATCAGTTTATAACAATAAGCCTGGAGTCTTAACCTGACTGGTTATGTGGGGTGATGTATCAGTTTATAACAATCAGCCTGGAGTCTTAACCTGACTGGTTGTGTGGTGTGATGTATCAGTTTATAACAATAAGACTGGAGTCTGAACCTTACTGGATATGTGGTGTGATGAATCAGTTTATAACAATAAGCCTGGAGTCTTAACCTGCCTGGCTATGTGGTCTGCTGTATCAGTTTATAACAATAAGCCTGGAGTCTTAACCTGACTGGTTATGTGGTGTGATGTATCAGTTTATAACAAGAAGCCTTGAGTCTGAACCTGACTGGTTATGTGGTCTGATGTATCAGTTTATAACAATAAGCCTGGAGTCTTAACCTGCCTGGCTATGTGGTCTGATGTATCAGTTTATAACAATAAGCCTGGAGTCTGAACTTGACTGGTTATGCAGTCTGATGTATCAGTTTATAACAATAAGCCTGGAGTCTTAACCTGCCTGGCTATGTGGTCTGATGTATCAGTTTATAACAATAAGCCTGGAGTCTGAACCTGAGGTGTTATCTGGTCTGATGTATGAGTTTATAACAATAAGCCTGGAGTCTAAACCTGACTAGTATTGTCGTATGAAGTATCAGTTTATGAAATGAAGCCTGGAGTCTGAACTTGGCTGGTTATGCAGTCTGATGTATCAGTTTATAACAATAAGCCAAGAGTCTGAACTTGATATGGCCTGATGTTGACGTGTGGTTATGTCTACTGATACAACAAGATGTCTCAGCAATTAGCCTCAAATGAACATCAAGACACCATGCTTGTCACATCAACACAAGTGGCCTACCTACAGCTCCTGTAAATTATAACTTCAGACCCTTCCTCAATTGTTAGTTGATTGGCAGCCACAAACGAAACCTGTTAATGTCCTAACTTACAGATCCTACCACACCTCACTGAGATACCACCTGTAATACCAGGAGGTTAAATTACACCTGACTTACAGATCCTACCACACCTCACTGAGATACCACTGTAATACCAGGAGGTTAAATTACACCTGACTTACAGATCCTACCACAACTCACTGAGATACCACTGTAATACCAGGAGGTTAAATTACACCTGACTTACAGATCCTACCACAACTCACTGAGATACCACTGTAATACCAGGAGGTTAAATTACACCTGACTTACAGATCCTACCACAACTCACTGAGATACCACTGTAATACCAGGAGGTTAAATTACACCTGACTTACAGATCCTACCACAACTCACTGAGATACCACTGTAATACCAGGAGGTTAAATTACACCTGACTTACAGATCCTACCACAACTCACTGAGATACCACTGTAATACCAGGAGGTTAAATTACACCTGACTTACAGATCCTACCACAACTCACTGAGATACCACTGTAATACCAGGAGGTTAAATTACACCTGACTTACAGATCCTACCACAACTCACTGAGATACCACTGTAATACCAGGAGGTTAAATTACACCTGACTTACAGATCCTACCACAACTCACTGAGATACCACTGTAATACCAGGAGGTTAAATTACACCTGACTTACAGATCCTACCACAACTCACTGAGATACCACTGTAATACCAGGAGGTTAAATTACACCTGACTTACAGATCCTACC